GGTGGCGAAACCACTGAGCTAAATCCCCGGCCCCACACTAATAATTTTTACTTAAGCATCATAAGTGGCCTATGATTTGGGTTTAAATACGAAGTGAAACACAGTCTATTTACATGATTAATTTATTGATGATTAAATTTTGTCTCTTTCACAACAGTTTTGATAAGCACAGATAATATTTAAAAATGAGCAAATATAGAAATACCATATATTTATTACATTAAAAATGATTTAATTACTGTAACTCAAAGATCACATTTTGAACTTATCTGGAAGCTCTCAGAACTCAGTCCTTACACGGCTAGGAACAGGTCCAGGCTTGAAGTCCAAGGCTGATCACACTGTGCAGCCTCCTGGCTGCAGTCCAAAGTGAGACCACCTAACAATTTGACCACTCCACCCATGGCACACCCACCTGGAAATTCAGCTGTAACTGTAACACCAAACGACAATATAAAGAAATAGACTAGTGGGCTGGGGATTTAGCTCAGTAGTTTCGCCGCCTGCTGCACAAGTGCAAGGACCCGAGTTCGATCCCCGGTACCAAAAAAAAAAAAGAAAAAGAAAAAGAAACAGACGTAGGAAGTAGGATTGCCGTGAGTTCAAGGCCAGCCTGGGCTATGTAGGGAGACCCTGTCTCAAAAAACCAAAGAAGGAAACAGACATTCTCAGGCGGCTATATGTTAAAAGTCTTATAAAAGTCTTAAATCTGCTTTAGGCTTGGCATGTTGAATGCTATGAATGTAAAACAAAAAAAGTGTTAGGTTACTGTACATTTAATCATTTTCTTATTTCTGTTGAGTATAGTACTTTGCAACTGGCCAACATACAAGTATCTGAATGTTTGGTTTTTATTTGGTACCAAGGATCAAACTTGGGACCTTGCACTTGTGAGGCAGGCATCGGAACTACTGAGCTAAATCCCCGGCCCTGAATGTTTTATTTAATATAGTAAGAGGTATTTATTTAGTACCTGCTCTGCACCAGCCACTCTCATATTTCATTCTAGTAACTGTGAGCAGGTGGAATTATTCCCATTGTACAGACAAGGAAACTGAGTCAGAGATTAATGTGATGAAGATTACACAGCAGGCAAGAACAGAATAAGTATACGATCCAGGTCTGATTCTGAAGCCTGTTCTAAGGACAGCAGCAGAGACTCCTATTCTGCAGCATTAGCTAAGCAATGTTATATAACCGCCTAAAATGCTTTTACTTTACTTAAAACATGGTAAAATACAGTGACTATTATGAAATCTAGCCGAGGTGCTGTAAAAAACATTCTTTATCGTGCCAGGCATAGTGGTGCATGCCTGTGATCCCAGCACTTGGGAGGCTGAGGCAGGGGGATTGCTGCGAGTTCCAGGCCAGCCTGAACTAATGAGACCTTGTCTCAAAACCAAACCAAATCAAACCTGAATCCTGTCTCCTAAGTGCCCTATACTGAATTATCTGGAGGATGGACCATGTACACCTAGCATTAAAACAATGGACAGATGCTGCCAATGCCACCCGGAGGCGGGCAGGCGGCTGCTTCGAGGCGCCTAATGCTTCGATGTCCCCAGCTTGAGGCTTACGATTACCAGGAACCTGTCATGCCACTCTATTTATAACTACTATAATATACCAATAAAACATGAGTACAAAAAATTGTTATTTCTACTAAAACTAAATTAAATGCTTTGGAAAGAACGTATTTTGAAATGCCTTTTTTTTGGTGCCAGGGATCAAACCAGGGCCTTGGATGTGCTACCAGGACATGTGTGCTCTGCCTCCAAGCTACAACCCAGACCTGATAAACATTAATTTTGATAAACACAAATTCCCATTTCCTAAAACAAACTCATGCTGAATTATGTGCACAGAAAACAGTATAAAATTTTAAGTTTAAAAACTATTTTTAAATTACTTAACTATGTAACATTCTACCCTCAGACTGCTCTGAGAAATCTTAATTCCACTTTAAAGAAATCAAAACTAGAAATCTTGGATGTACATTATTAATATGGTTTCTACAAGAAAGGCCTTGTTAGAATAAAAAACACACCCCATCTCACCCTCAAATAGGGTCATAAGCTGGGCGGGGTGATCCACACCTGTGATCCCAGCACACAGGAGGCTGAGGCAGGAGGGAGCGCTGCAAGTTCAAGGCCAGCCTGGGCTACACAGTGAGTTCAAGGCCAGCCTGAACTACATAGTGAGGCCCTGTCTCAAAAAACAAAACAAAACTAAACTAAAAAGGGTTAGGATTATAGCTCAGCAGCAGAGCACTTGTCTAGTATTGTGCAAGGTCCCAGTACCACATTAAAAAACAAACAAACAAACAACACAGCCCAGCAATTTGGACAGGCCTGTAATCCCAATACTCAGGAAGCCGAGGGAGGAGGATCACCACCAGTTCTAGGCCAACCTGGGCTACACAGTGAGTTCAAGGCCACCCTGAACTATTTAGCAAGACCATGTCTCAAAAAAGTAGAAAAACGGGGGTGGGGGTGTGTGTGTGTGTGAAAAAAACCTAGGCTGTTATTCTGATTCCCCACTTAAATTCTTTCTATTAGCCAAACACCACACCCAGTCATGTAGGCTAAGAGGCTCTGATGTGCTTATTTAGGCAACGCTCTGAAGCACAGCTGTAGCTCACTAAACAAATATTTGAGTCTCTACATTAATATCCACACTTCACTCACATGCTGAATGAGTATCTGAGAGGTTCTCCTATTTGCCCTCACTTTATCAAGAATTCAATGTTAAATATGCTTATCTCACTCTCTAGCCCACAAAGTAAAAGCAGGAAATTAAAGAATAAGTATAGTAACAACAAAAGCTTTTGATACCAAGGGAACAAAAAACCCCCACAGATATAAATATGTACATGTATGATAAAATGCAGTGCTTTAAGCTAAAGAAAAAAAAAACCCCAAAATCTCAAACATTTTTTGGGCATTTCTAGATTTATGACCTAGGACAAGGTTGACAGTTATAGCAGTGTCCTTTTATCATCCACTAAGGGTTAAATTACATTAAGTCTGTGAATCTTTTTCTTTTTATAAAAAGGGGTAGAGAAGCATGAATATTTGAGAAATCTATATATTATGATTATAACTGAAAATATTTTTGGCATTTTAGAGCGAAGTTTCAATTATCTAAAAAAATTCACTCATATAAAATACATCCTCAGACACCAAAGTAGAAAAACATGAAGTATTGGTGTTTCTAGCCAAGAGCTGCCCACAACTGTGCTCTTCAAACTGCAGGTTACCGCGACCCATTAATTGGTCAGAAAATCAATTCAACAGGTTGTGACAGCGATGAAAAAGTGAACTAGAACAGAAAATATAAGACCATATTGCACACAGTAAAGGTAGTCCATGTGTGAAAAACTTTTCTCAGTATTTTTTTTTTTTTTTTTTTGGAGCCAGGGTCTCCCTAGGTAGTTCAGGCTGGCCTTGGATTCACTGTGTAGCCCAGGCTGACCTTAAACTCCAGGCAATCTTCCTGCCTCAGCTTCTGGAGTGCTGAGGCCTGTGCCACCACACCTGGCCTTATCTCAGTATTTCTGTACTCATCTGCTAAGTCAAAGATATTAATTACCCTGGATCCTGGTTCAAAAAAAGCCATAGGCCTAAAGGTTCATGTATTATGGAACATAATCACAATACTAAACTTGTAATCTCATCAGTTTTACTTGAGAATGCTAAAGAAAGCCACAATTTTGAAAGAGAAAAAAGTCACTTTTTTAAGGAATCTTGATGAATAATGTATTTATTTTCCCCAGTAACCTCTGTAAGTATATAAACATTTTGTCGTGTTTGGCACTAGTTTGCCTAAAATAAATGCTATATTTTAAACTGCTACTGCAGATACTACCAGTTTTTAAACTGCCACGACTTTAAAGCAACTTAACAACAATCCAAGACAAACAGTGACTTTGATTTTATTTGTTTGTTTATCCTGAGATTCAATCACTGCCCTTGGTGCTATTTTTTCAAAGTCACTGAAAAATCTAAACTTAGCATAGTACACAAGCAATCTGGTCAGCAGCAATGCATTTGCCAATATTTTATACACACATAGTTGTTGCCTGATTTGAAGTATCACTTAAAACTAAATTAAATATAGCTTTCTTCATGTCTTTCTAATGCATTTAATAATCATGATCAAAAAAACATTTTAAATAGACAATCTGTCTTTCCAATCACTTTGAAAGACCATCTGGAAAAATAACCCGCTTAGTCCATTCTTTTTGTAAGTAAGCATTTAATTCATAGGATAAATGACTATTTCCGACCTCAAGTCTCAAATTTGCAGTGAACTCTCTTTAGTCCAACTCCCTACCAAACACGACAATCCCTGCTTTATTACATTCCTTGAACCGAATTCCTATCTACCTAAAGTCCTCACTAAGCACTGCTATATGAAAATCTTACAAATACTGATACTTGTCATTAATCAGAAAACTGATAAACAATCCTCTGAAAAAGCACAGTGTATACATTATCCTAAGACATGAAAATACAGGTTTAGGAAGGAAGCAGCATTGACCTTTTGCTAGGGATTCCTATGCTTATGATATCCTGAATGCTGACGTACTTTCCAAACTTTGGGAGTTTGCTTAAAGAACAAAAAGCAACTAATGAAAGCAGGGACCATAATAAAATAGTAAGTTGCCAACTCACTCTTTCATCAAGTTCAAAATGGCAAGTTTAAGCGCCTGTAAATGTCTCTAAAGTTGAAGTCAGCCCGACTGCCTGAAACTAGCGATCGCAGCTCTAAACGGCCGTGGAGGGGCCGGCGACCACACACCCAGATGCTGTCGTTAGCCACGTCATTTCCCACCCAGTTAGTTCTCCGCCGAAGGCTGTTCGGGCCTGCGCCTGGCCCCGCCGGCCCCGTCCCCTCCCCGGTCCTCGCAGGGGACCCGAGACCCCGCGCCGGCGGCCCCGTCCACAGCAGGCCCGAGCGGCGCGGCCGGCCGCATCCAGCCCTCCACAAGCCTGTACCTCGCTCGGACTTCATGTTCGTGTCCGGGCCGCACCGGCGCCGCGATGCTCGCGTGGGCGCCCTCCACGGCTCGCCGCCGCCCCGCTCCGGGTCCCGAGCGCTGAAAGAGAGAGAGTGGGTCGGCGCGGCCCTGCGAGAGCAGCCCCACGAGGCCCGCGTCCCCGCCGACTCCGCCGCGGCGCCCTGGCCTATTTATAGCCCCAGGCGCGGCCGAGGCAGCGACCCAGCTGCCCTGCGCTCGGTCAGCCCCGGCCTCACCTGTGTGCCCGCCCCGCGGCCGCGCCCACTCAGGAGAGGAGCCCGGGCCCCAAGCGCTCGCCGGCCGCCGTCGCGGGCCGCCCCGCCAGAGGCCCCGCCCTCCCGCCGCGAGGACCGCCCCTTCCCGGAGGCCCCGCCCCTCCCAAGGCCCTGCCCAACCCCAGCCGGGACCCGCGCCCCCGCCCCGCCCCGCGGCTCCGCCCCCTGAGCCTGGGTCCCGTCGCCCGGCGCGCTCACCCCGCGCTCCCCGGTCTTCTCAGCCCTGCCGCGCGCGCTCTGGTGTCCGCCCGTGGGCCGCGTCCATGGGCTCCCGGGCGGCTCGCTCCGCGGCTCCCGGCGCGGCCGTACTCCTTGTCCCCGTCCTGCTCGGCGCCCCGCTCGGAGCATCCCACGCCTGCCTCGCCCCGCGGCTGCCCTGCACCCCCGAGGCCATGCACCCGAGCCGCCGTCCGCTCCGCTCGCCCCGGGCCGCCCTGTCAAAACACGGCGGTCACGTGCCCGACACCGCCCGAGCCCGTCACTTCCGCGCCGCGCGCCGGCGCCATGGCAACACCGCCGAGCCCGGGCTCTGGGTGGCTCCGGCCGGAGCGGCCCGCGGGCCGGGGCCTCGAAGCTAAAAATAACTGGAAACTTGGCAGCCCTGACTCACTGCGGGAGGGCACGCCTGCCCGGTGCTGTTGTCTCGAAGCTGTAACTTGGCTGTGCTGTAACAGCGTGACAGGATGACATTTCGCGTTGTGAGGTTGTTTCATCACTTAAGCACCAACAGATGTGGAGAATCTGCAGCAGCTAAGGCGATCAGTGTGTAGCCAGTGCAAAGGGACAAGAAGTACAACATTCCCAAGGCCCTTCGGTTTCATTAGGGAAAAAACATTTTTAGAAAGAACTTTGCATACAAGAATCACAACAGGAAAGTAGGAGGACAGACGTTTTATTTTTACTTTATTCTTTGTACTGTGCTGCTTCTAAAGTTTTCCAGTGACTACGGATTAGTTTTACATCAGAAGCTTTTGTAAACCGCAAAGATTGACAATTGCATTTTCTTTTGCTTCAGATCAAAACATGAAATTTCTCTTATAAAAAAATAGTATTTTCGGGGCCAGGGATTTAGCTCAGTGGTTTCGTTGCCTGCTGCGCAAGCGCAAGAACCCGAGTTTGATCCCCCAATACCAAAAAAAAAAAAGTAGTATTTTCTAGATGTTTAGCTTTTGACGGTAAAATAACAATAACGTGCACAATGCAATAATTAGCTTTAATCCCAAGATTGCACCTAATCAGAACACTGCCAGAGGAGGACAGCGTGTCCCCGGGCTGTTCTGGCCTTAGAAAGACGAAACTTCTTCACAAAGGGCAAAAGTCTACACAGTGGCTGCAAATGTTAACTCCCAGTAGAGTTGATATCACTATTACTGAACTGCTGTGGTATGTAGTTTTAAGAGATGAACTGAAGTTTTACTTGTTTTTACAATCACTTCTCTGCTAACCTTGGCAATGGGAGAAGGAAAGAACAGTTACATAATCCAAAACCCTAAACTTAGCACAACAGCTGGGTCAGATAACAGCTCCTGGAAAGGGTTTAGAGGGTGGACAGGCAGCCAGATCTGGACTTTAGGTCCTCTCCCTCTGCCTCCTTGCCAGAAAGAGACACGAAGACTAGAAAAATACAGAGCGCCCAGGCCGAGACTACTGGCCGGCCTGGAGCACAGACTCCTGCGTTCCCCTTTGATAACCTCAGCTTTAGCAGTGCTGGTGCCTGAACATTTGTCAGACTAAGTTTTTACAGACTCCCAAATCTGTTTAAAAGTTTGTTGTCATTGAGATGGTGGAAAATACTTCCAAGAAGTGTATTTCTGGCTCATTCACTATTTAAATTACTGTTCATGCAGGCAACATGCATTTCCTGAGCGTTCACTCTCTGCTAGGCACATAGTAGTCCCCAAGAACGCAGCGGTCACCTGAACCAGAGAGGGTCACTGCTCTCACAGAGCTTGGGATCAAGTCACATTCTATGCCTCAGAGTGACCTAAAACATGAGGGGTTTGGCAGGCTGAGGCAGGAGGACTGTCACAAGTTCAAGGCCACCCTGGGCTACATAGTGAGTTCAAGACCAACCCAAACAACACAGTTCGACCTCTCAAAATTTAGAAATGAGGTATTTAGACAATTAGGTAAATAATCTCTTTCCTTTCTAATCCTCAAAAACAATCCTACAATTGTAGAAAAATGTTCAGAGAGCTGGGTGTGATGGTTGCACGCCTGTAATCCCAGCACTTGGGAGGCTGAGGTAGGAGGATCACCAGGAGTTTGAGGCCAGCCTGGGCTACATAGTGAGTTCTAGGTCAGCCTGGACTACATAGTGAGACCCTGTCTCAAACAACAACAACAACACCACCACCAACAAAAAAAGAAATAAAAGTGTCCAGAAGGATTGAGAATAAGTTCCGGAAATGGCAACTCACTCTAAGCATTGCTGATAATGGAAGCAGAACCAAGCATCCCTCTTTCTCCATGGTGAGGGGTGGGGTGGGTGAGGCAAAGAAGGCCGGTCTGCCTGTGGGATTTGCTACCAATTTGCTTTCCTCAATGTTCCAAAGCCATGAGCGATCCACTTAAAGTTAACTCATCACCAGAAAGGGCATCCATCAGCTTGTACAGGTTTGTTCCAAGAACCAGCGTGAGGCAAAAACTTAATACATACTAAGCTGAATACAGTGGCACCTGCCTCATAATCCTACCAGAAGCTACTCAGGAGGCTGAGGCAGGAGGATCCAAAGTTGGAGCCTAGCCTGGGCACCTTCATGTCTCAGAATTTTTTAAAGATTGGGACGGTAGCTCAGGGTAGAGCACTTGCCCAGCCTGGGTTCAATACCCAGTGCCACAAAAATGAAATAAAATATAAATAAATATTGTCAAGTTCCTTTCTTTTCTTTTTACTAAGATGAGGATGATTGGTTTGGTTTTCTTTTTAGTACAAGGTGCACCCAGTGTCATAAAACAGTCCCAGCTACAGAGCAAAGACTGGCACTTTTTCCCTCTATCTGGGACCTAACAAAGGCCCTGTCACAGGGCAGGAGCCCAGTAAATGGCAGGCTTTGTGGTAATAACTTCCCCTGCACATATCTATAAGCTGTGCTCCCTATGCCAGCTGCTATTTTCTCCCTAGAGGGTTGGGAACCTGGTGATGGGCACAGACTTCATTTGTGAAAGGTGTATTTTCATCACTTTGGTTTTGTTTCATAACAGCAGGAACCTGCTGTGAGTTGGTCGTGCTCCCTAAGGACGACAGGCTAGAAGCCCCCACTTACCTACCTGGAAATGGGGTCTGTGGGGATGTAACCAGGCAAGGAGGCACAGGAAACAAAGCCACGTGACAAAGAAAGAGATCGGAGTCTTACAGATTGGCCACTAAAACATGGAGATCTTTAATTCTGCATGTTACGATAAAGGAGTTGAAAATATTAAGAAAAAAGATCTCTCAAATACTGCAAAGTAACTATGACCCATAGCTAACAGATGATCATGAGAAAGTGGTTGGGAATCATCAGATGAAAATACGCTATTTTAAACCAGGTGTGCTGTTATCCCAGCACTCGAGGCTGAGGCAGGAGGATCACCATGAATTCAAGGCCAGGCTGAACTATACAGGGAGATCCTGTCTCAAAAGACCAAAAAAAAATAAAAAAAATTTTTTTTAAAGAAAGAACATATGCTATTTTAAATGTGTCAATTGGTAGATTTTTTTCATCATAAAGTATGTGGAAATAAAAAGATAAAAATTTTAAATATACATATATAAATCTAGTCTTGCATAGTAAGCAAAAATAAAAACAAACTGAACTGTGTACTTTTCATTGTTGAAGACAGAAAACATAAATGCAGGCTGTCTTTTCCATACCGAATTCTCTCTGGTCAGACCGGTACGTACACTGCAGATCCTGTCTTTCTAAGAGGGAAAGACCAGGGAGCCCCTGCCCAGGCGCTGGCTCTGTGCACAGCCGTGGCTTACCCTGCTGGGCTGCTCCTGCTTTGCCCGGCTCCTGTTTGTCCGCACTGTCCTGGTGACCACAGGTACAAGGAAGTAAAACTGCCCCTTTCTGCTCCCCACCTGCAGAAGTGAGTGTGGTACCTGAAAACACGATGGTCTCTAAACTTCCAGCCATGGAGACTTCTTGTTTATCTCAAGGTCTACTGGGTTTCTAGGGCTCTGAGGACCAGGACTTAAGGACTTTTCAAAAATGTACCATACTAGCTTTTTTTTGGTGGGGGGTCGACAAGGTCTCCCTTTGTAGTCCAGGCTGGCCTCCAACTTGCAGCGATCCTCCTGCCTCAACCTCCCAAGTGCTGGGATTATAGGCTGCATCACCACACCTGGCAGTAATTGCCTATTTTGTGACAGTGGCTGTGCTGAGCACGTCTCATCTGCGTGTGGTCCTAGAGAGTGGCCCTGGCTCACCGGTAGGCAAACCCGGGGCCAGGGAGCTGAGTAACTTTCCCAGGGGTGGAGCTCAGAAGCACCAGGAGCAGCTCCTTTCATTTCCATTACAAAATCTCCAAGCAGGATAAATAATTCCAGACATTTAAAGTGGGGAAACCAAGGCTCAGAATCATTAGGAAATGGCTGGAATTTAAATTGGTTTATGCCAGTTTAGGCTCGGTGATCTGGATATAAATTCTAAATAGATTATCTGTGCTTGTTACATGTGAACTCAGAAGACCAAAAGGTCACACTCATAAGACAGGTCAAATTCGGGAGCCCTTCAGTAGTAAGCGCTTTTCTGAGTGCTGTATACACTGCCCCATTTAATCCTCATAGCATGCGTATAGAGTGTTACTATCTCTGTGTTAGACTCAAAGAAACAAGAAAAGGGAAAAAAAAAAAGAAACAAGGAAAGGGAAAAGTAAGTAACTTTCCCACTGTCAAACAACAAGGCAGTAGCAGAGCCAGGATTCACACCCAAGGAGTATGAAGAGGGAACTCAAGTTTTTGTTTTCGTTTTTTGAGACAGGGTCTCCCTATGTAGTCCAGACTGGCCTTGAACCTACCATGTAGCTCAGGCTGGCCTTGAATGTGTGGGCCATTCTCCCGCCTCAGCCTCCCAAGTACTGAGATTATAAGCATGTACTGCCACACCAGGCTACTTTGGATATTTTTTTAAAATTCTGAACAGTCCTGGCATGGTGTTGTACACCAGAAATCCCATCACCCTGAGAGTCTGAGGTAGGAGAATTTCAAGTTCAAGCCTAGCTTGTGCAACTTAGAGACTTAGTGAGACCTTGTTTTAGAAAAAATAAAAACAGAAATAAAAAGGGAGGGCTGTAGCTCAGGGCAAAGGCCTTTTCTAGGACAAAGGCTGCTAAGAATGAACAAAGACTGTAGAAATTGCCCACCTCCTTTTCACAGATGGGGAAATTCATAATTGAGATTAAATTCTCCCCATGATAGAGCAATATAAATTATACCTTTGAAGACTGCAATCGCTGCTGGTTCTATCAGCACCTTGAAGCTCAACTCAGTCTGAAGAGAATCCCGGAACTGATCGCTTCATTTGCTTGTTGTCTGTCTCAAGAACGTCACACTCTCACGCTTCAGAGAAGGTGCTGAAGCTCTTCTCTTATTTTAAACTGTGCAGGCAAAATTCTGCATGTGAGGCTGAAAGTAATTGGTTTTCATTTCCAAAATGTCTCTCTGTCTAATGTAAGCTTAGTCCAATTCCGCATTTATTGAACTTTATATGCCAAACACTTTCTTGGGCCCCAGAGAGACAGACAAGAAAAGCGAGCTCTCACCCCGAAAGCTGCCTGAGTCTAGCAAGGGGGCAGCCACGCCAATGAAGAATGGCAGTTGACTGGATAATAGCTCAGCAAAATCACGTACAGGGAAAGTTAGGGGCACAAAGAGGGGAGGAGGCGTAGGAGAGGGGTCATTCACGGAAAGGACACCTCTGCTATGTTTTGGAGGATGGCCAAGGGATGCCTTGTTACAAGGTCACATCCAAAGACACTAATGGAAATGGAAATGACAGGCTCACTGTGGGATACATTGTTTGTTTCGGTCACAGCCCCAGTGTGCACCCCTCTCACCACCCAGGCCTTTGCCACATAGCTTGCAGGCCTTCTCAAGGTCAGGAGATACTTCCCAGCCCTGGTTCAGCCACTGGACTCGGTAAGGCTGAAATGACAGGGAGTGACTCTGAGCTGGACCCAAAGAAGCCTGGCCTATTTCTCCCCTTGAATCTCTGCCATTACCAGGAAAATCAGATTCCTTGGGTCAACTGCTAGTCCCAGGAGGGTGAGAGCCAGATGTAGGATAAATGGGAACTGACTCACAGAACAACCCAGCTTGGATTAGCAGGACAACCACCCTGAACAACAGAGCCATAAGAAAAAAAAACCATTGTTTTAAGCCACTGAGGTATGGGATGATTTGTTACTCAGCACTAGTGCAGCAGTGGCAAACCAATACAACCATACTAGTGGATTTGGATTTTATCGTGTAGGTAACTGAAAATGCAGAAAGATTTTCATAAATAGGTACATTGTTTCAGAAAGACAGCTTTAACAACAGAGTGAAAGTCGGAGATGGGAAGAGGACAGTGGAGAGCCAGTAGACAGAAGCTATTGTAATGATCCAACTGCAGCAGTACAAATCTGAGAAAGGCAGTGGACAGAATAGCTGGAGGACAACACGAGTACTGTGCTGTAATAAAGGAAGCAGCAGAGAAAGGGACAGGGGTAAGGCGAGGACGGGGCTATTTAGGGTTTGGTTTGCAGTACTGGGGTTTGAACCCAGGGCCCCACACATGCTAGGTGATCGCGCCCTACCGCACTGGGCTACATCCCCAGCTGACACTGTAATGTGTCGTAAGCATCTAAAGAGACAATGTGTAGGCCAAGGGAGACAGTGCAGGAGCTTATAGATGAGGTCTCCTCCGGACTTGCGGATTACTCAGACTCTGCATGCCAGTGGCAGCTACCCTGCCCCATGGGACACCAAGAAGGAAAAGGGCTGGGCCCTGTACTCCCAGCTATTTGGGACGCTGATGAGGGAGAATCAGACATTTCGTTAATTTAATGCAACCCTGTCTAAAAAAAAAAGGAAGGAAGGAGCAAGGTGGGGATGTGGCTCAGTGACTCAGTCTTGCTATGTAGTTCAAGCTGGCGTGTAGCCCAGGCTGGCCTCAGACTCATGGTGATCTTCCTGCCTCAGCCTCCCAAGTACTGAGATGACAAGTGTGTACCACCACACCCATCTAAACCTATTCTTTCTGATATGGTGGGAGGGTTGCAACATGCTGATGACACACAGAGTTAGTAGCAGCTGGAGCCAACACAAGGCCTTTGGGATGAGCCAGCCCTGTACTAGTTAGGAATTTGGTAATGAATAAGACCCACGTGAGACCTGCCTCTCTATCGAGACAGCTTCCTCTGGGATTCTTAGACTGCTCAGGTCTTACGTGTATCCTACAGACAAACTGAAATGCCATCTCTCAGAGCTTGTGATCTACATTTGTCTGCTTTTGTTTTAAATATACACAGTTTCCAAGTATATTACATTGATAAGGATATAGCATTAAAATGCAAGTGTTAACATTTTAATGTAAGGATATCTATATTGACCTCAGAATAAAGCTCAGCTTTTTATTTGTTTGTTTGTTTGTTTGTTTTGAGACAGGGTCTCACTATGCAGTCCAGGCTGGCTGTGAACTTTCTTTGGAGCCCCAGGCTGGCCTGGAACTCATGGTCACCCTCCCACCTCAGCCTCACGAGTGCTAGGATGATAGGAGTGTGCTACCAGGCCTGGCCTAAAGCTCACGGCTACAATTTAGCACACATAAAATAAAGCAAACGACTGAGAGCAGAGTTGTAAAACAAACTATTAACCCTGCCATGCCTTTATGTAGAGCGGGTAGAGTAACCAGGCAGGATTTGTGGAAATCCAGAAGAAGAGAGACTTCTGACAGAGCCTTTTGCAACGGCGGGGAGGGGCCGCCTAGAAATGAAAAGGAGCCCGGGGACCAAAAGGCCCCACATTTTTCCTCAGCCTAAGTAAAAGATAAACTGAAAACTAATGGCATGGATTGCCCAAGATAACAGGCAGAAAATAAAGAGCGAGGTGATTCATTAAACCAGACTGAGGAGAAATGGAGGTGATAGAATCAGATGGCAGGCAAAATTGAAATGTCAGGGAGCTGACGCTGATGCATCTGCGATGATCCTTCGGAACTGCATGGTCAAGCAAAAACTTTGAAGGCTATTTTTCCGGGCCTGACTGAAACTAGGGCTGTCTTTCCTGGGGGTGAGATGGCCTGGGAGGAGGGTCGGGTGAGTGCTCACACTTGAGCTATTTGACTGGAGCAACAAAGGCCTGGATTCTCTTAGTCACATGCCACCATCCACACTGCACAAGCTTCCTGTCCAGGACTCCCAGGTCCCTAAACACCAGAACTTCTAATTGCTGTGTGACACTTCATCCAGATGCTCCTGTGAAAATTCTCCCATTGTCTCCAATTAAATAGGGCACAGTTCAGATAGAGAACAAACAACATTAGAAACTAGAGAGATGATGTAACTATAGTAACAGAAACTAACTCTGATTACTGATAATTTTATTTATATGTAATTTTATACAAGCAAATTTTAAAAATTGAAATGAGTGCATAATGGTTTTGTTTTTTTGAGACAAGGCCTCACTGTGTATTTCAGGGCAGCCTTGAACTCACTTTGTAGCCCAGGCTGGCCTGGCACTCACAGCAATCCTCCTGCTTCAGCCTCCTAAATGATAGGAATAAAAGCATGTGCCACCATATCTTATTTGAATGGATAATCTTAACGAAATTATAAACCATCAAATGAAATAAATCATTAGTAGAAAACCTGACTAGACCAATTGTTATCTAAGGAATCAAAAGTCAAAGACCTACTCCTAAAGAAGATACCAGGCCCAGAAGGCTTTATCAGAAACTTCTTTTAAACCATCAAAAAACCAGATAATTACTTTGTTGTATAAAGTACTCCAGAGAAAAAGAAAAGGAGAAAAAGATAATCCTGATAGCTGGGCACGGTGGTGGAGCACACCTGTAATCCCAGCACTTGGGAGGGTGAGGCAGGAGGACTGCTGAGAGGTCAAGGGCAGCCTGGGCTACATAGGGAGAATCTATCTCAAAAAACCCAAACAAACAAACAAACAAACAAACAAACCCTGATAAACCAGAATGGAAAATAACCCTCATCTTGCTGATGAACATAAAAGTAAAACTCCTGAGTACAATACTAGCACAGAATCCAGCAGGGCACTAAGTGAATATCACCTCACGACCAAGAGAGTTACCCCGGAACGCAGGGCCTGCCAAGGTGATGATGTCTGCAAATCCAAATGCCCATTCTATCTGAGGAAAGGAAGTAGAAACCAAATAATCCTCTTTGCCGAAAAGTGCACTTGACGAAATGGTACCCTTCCTTCCAAAAGGTCTTCCAGAGCTCGGAGGATCGTAGAGTGAGCATCGTGTCTAACAGGAAACATCACTGCTAGCACGCCCGAAAAAGTAAAGAATAAGATCAGAACTCCTATTCCCACAGTAGCGTATTTGGAAGTTTTAGTCAATGTGCTAAAACTGGAAGTGAGACAGGTGAGTCAATGGTGGTGCACCCCATAGTCCCAGCACTGGGGAGGCTGAGGCAGGAGGAGGGGCGCAAGTTTGAGCCAGGTCCAGGGAACTTACTGACTGAGCGAAAGCCTGTCTCAAAATAGAGAACGAAAAGGGCTGAGGACAGGGCTCAGTGCAAAGACTCCGAGCTGAACCCCCCGGGGCCAGGCTAGGGGAGCTGGGGAGGTCAAGGCCAAAGCACTTCAAAGGTGTGTTTATTGGGAAGGTACACCGTGCTCTGGTGCTCTGCGTAGGAACTTAATGCTTCACCATATGCTATTTTTTCAGGTCAGAGGTCTTGCTAAATTGCCTATGCTGCCCTCAAGCCCCTGAGCTCCTGCCTCAGCCTCAAGTTTCTGGGACTACAGATGCCTGCCACCTTGCCTGGCGAGGCAGTTCATGCTTAAGGCTTCTCCACCTACAGATTTAGTGCGAACTCAGTCAAAATCTCAGGAGCATTTGTAATGGAACTGAACAAGTTGATTCCAAAGTCATATGTGGAACACTAGCCTCACACTCCCCCAGGGAGATGAGTCTCGTGAAAACTGCCTCTCCCAGCCTGCTTCTGGTGCTCACGCAGAATAAGACAGAGCAGAGTTGGGGCAGAGCCGTGCCTGCACCGGAGAACATGCTTTTCCACACCCAGCTCTTCTCTTTCGTTCACCAGATCAGCTTCTTCTAAGCTCAGGGCGCTGGACGATGGGTCTGCTTTGCCTTTTGATACATTTCCTTTAACTATACAACGTGGGCTCTTTGTATGACAGTTTCAACTCAAGCCTGATGTGGTGGTGCACACCTCTGATCCCAGCACTCAGGAGGCTGAGGCAGGAGGATTGCTGAGCGTTTAGGGCCAGCCTGGGCCACATAGTGAGTTCAAGCCCAGCCTGGACTACATAAGGAGACTCTGTCTCAAAAACAAAACAAATCCAAGACCAAAAAAACCCTAAATTCAGTTCAGCGTTTTTTAATATGTGACTGCTGAGAATTAAAACAGACATTATTGTCATTTCTCCTTTAGGACCAAAGAAGTCATGGAAATTAGACCTCGAACCTTTGTATCAGATTAATTAGAAAGTATGAAACGTGAACAAGGCCCAAGTAAAAGATTTGGCACACTCACCAAATGCTGTTTCACCACAGAATTGTCCCAAAAATATTAGAAAAATCCCTGATGTGGATTTTTAAAATCGAATTTAGAAATATGTACATTTTTTCTTTGTTTTTCTGTGACCGAGGGAACAGGTCTGCCAAGGTTCAGGGCAGGAGTCCCTTGTACGTCCCGGAGAGCCATGGCCGTCAGAGTTGGTGAGTGGGAACGCGGAGGGACAGTGGACAGGAGCTCAGAGAGAAGTGGCTGGCTGGAGGGCATTGGTGACCTTGTAAGGACCTTGGCTGTCAAGGGTGTGGTGCGTGCTGATGATTCAACAGCTCAGCCACTGCGCTGCTGGGTTTAGGCTCCAGGGTGCCGGGGACCGACACCAAAGGCCGGCCCCGACACCAAAGGCCGGGCCGTCCGGGTGCAGCCCAGGTGCAGCCGGCCCAAGTGCGGCCGCTCTGCGTCCTCCCGGCCCCGCTCTCAGCCGCTCCCCACTGGCGGCCCCACGCCTGGCTTCTGTCCCGAGCCCCTACTGCCTGTGCCCTGGCTCTGCCGACACTGACACGGCCTCCCTCGAGCTCCTGGCCTCCAGCTGCCCCAGGGCTCTTCACCTGGGATGCACGTGCTCCAGCCCGGAGTCTGTGACTTAGCTGGAGAAAGCTCATCTCGGTTTTCCGTTACGAGCAACAGAAGGGCTGCTCTTCCTTTGAGAACGAATATAACAGCAACACAGTGTCGGAGGTACCTGTGGCCGGAGGAAATGACAGATATTTTCGTATCATATCACAGCTCTGTCAAGACGTCGCTTAGCGTTGTCACCGCTTTGAAGTGATGACACTCTTGGGCCAACCATTAGATTTTCAAAATGTGCTACTAATGAACCAAATATTAAGAAATATTTTGTTTGAACATTATTTGAGTCCTTTTAATCCCTATGTATATTAATTAGTACATTTTAAAATTCTATTCTGAGGAATTAATGGGCTAGAAAAGAGTTAATTCATGAGAATTCTGAGTTCAAGGGCAAAAAAGATTTAAAAGCTCTGTTCTGATCATAACAAATCAATTCAGGTCTAACTGAGCCCCAAATTCCATTGTTCTCTCTCTTCTCCTTCCTCTTGTCTCTGCTGGGAATCAATCCTAGGGCCCCATATGGGCTTGGCAACTGCTCTACCACTAAGGTACAGCCCTCACCCTTAATAGTCTTCCATTGTGTATCTGTACCACTTTTTAAACAGGATTTTTATCAGGGACTGGGTCTCAGAATGTTGCCTGGGCTGGCCTTGAACTCCTGGGCTTCAGGAATCCTCCTGCCTCAGCCTCCAAAGTGCCTGGGGCTACAACTGCCTGCCACCACCCAGTCAGTCTCAGATTCCAACACTGCCTTGGGCTCTCGATACCCTCACTTGGCTGATGTTTTCTCCTTGCTACAAGTTGTTCTAGTACAGTTGGATGCCACCTGAGGAGCGTTCCATAGAACCCACAGCAAAGAACACTGCAAGCTTTTTCCTCTCTCGCTCAGGAGCCCAAGAGCCTGATTCACATGCACGCACGGTGCCCAGGCTTCTTTCCTGTCACCCATTTCTCTGTTGGTGACTTTCAGTGCGTGTGGCTGTTCTCCCCACCACCGCTTTGTGATTCACTGCTTGCCGTACACAAGAACCTGGGATCTCTTGTCAGATCCACCAGGAAGTAACAATTCCTGCTTCCTGCTGCCTTCAGTCTGGCCCTTCGCCCTGCTGGTGCTGGCTGTTGTCCCTCTGGGTATTCCTTCCTTCGGCCTCCAATTTCCGCCCAGCCTCGCGTCCCTGGAGAGCTCCTGCTCCATCCTCAGGACCCAGCCCTGCCAGTGCCGCCTCCTCCCTCCGTCCCCACCCAGCAGCGAGGGGTCCCTGCTGCGGCCACCCTGTTGGTGTCCAGTGCCTGCCCAGTGCACCTGGTGCTCTTGCAGGGTCTGTGGGCTTCCAGGGGAACTTAGCCAGGCTAATCACCACCTCTGCAGATTAGTGAGCTGAAAGTGGGTTAGCCCCGCCCTGAGGAGCTGGGCCTCAGAATTTAGCTTTCGGTTAGGAACATCCACTTCATTTGGTTATGAGTAAGTTTGTTTGCAAGCCACAGACCTGAAGATATTTGCAATACATACACCTGACAAAGGATTCAGAACTACCATTTAAAAAAGAGAATTCCTGGGCTGGGAATGTAGCTTAGTGTTGCAGTGCCTGCCTGGCAAGCCCAAGGTCCTGAGTTTGATCCTCGGTACCATAAAATAAAACATAAAATAAAATAAAGAATTCCTAGTGATCATTAAGAAAAGGCCACCAGGGGCTGGGGATTTAGCTCAGTGGCACTGTGCCTGCCTCACAAGCATGTGGGCCTGGGTTCAATCCGAGGTACCAGAAAACCCCCCAAACAAACAAAAACAGAAAAGGCCTCCAGTCTGGAGGAAAATTGGGCTGGGGCTGCAGGTATAGCTCACTGGCAGCTTCGCATGTACAAGGCCCTACTTCAACCTCCAGATCCACAGCAAATAAATAAATAGAGAAATAGGGCAAAATCTCCCATAGCAACTTGGGAAAGGAAGCCATCCACGTGGGCAAAAGAAAAAAGAAAGAAAGATCAACAGGACTTTACGTGACTCCTCCGGAAAATGCAAATTAAACCGTAGAAGCCTCCATTCCCCACCCAGAGGGCTACAATTTAAAAGGCTAGCAAGGAGGAGGGGACGGGAAGTGAAAGGACCTGAGACGGTCTCAGCCTGAGCCCGGCGCCCATGTGAATGTGACTACTACGTGCTGCAAGTGCACTGATAAAATAAAAGACAAATGCGAAGCCAGCAATGAGTGAGTGTAAGCATGCAGAGCTTCAGCGCGGTGCTGCCGGGCCGGCTGGGCGACACCATTTCTTGGGAAAAGCACTTGGTTTCCGCCGGAGGAAACTCGCCCTGCGTGGTGCCAGCCGGGCTCCCGCGCTCGCCCGCGCCCTCATCTGGAGGTGGGCAGTGGCCGCGGTGGGCAGCTCGGCCGCCGCAGCCGCCCCAGGGTGACTCGGCAGCTGCCCCGAGCTCCGTCCACGCCCAGGGCCAAGGTCCCTCCCGGGAAGGGCCAGGCCAGGGGGGGACAGGGTCCACCGCCACTGCCCCCGAGACCCCAAGCCACCACGGCCCCTCCTGGACGCCCCTCCGCAGCCTCTGGGGGTGCAACTTCTACCCACTGACCTCGGAGCGGGGACGCGGCCACTGAGAGGTGCTTTGGGCTGCGGCGCCCCCTGGAAAGTCCTGAGACTGCGCCTGCGCAGGCCGCTTCTGCTCTGCCGGAGCCTCTTCCCTCCCGGGCTAGGGGCCTGGAGCTGGGGCCCAGGACCAGTCCTGCCGAAAGGAGCTGACTGACGCGGCAGGCGAGCCACTGACGTCGGAGAGCTGCACTTTACCGTCCAGGATTCCTGTACGGACTAAGCCAAAGAACCCTGGCTGATTGGTGACAACTTGTACAGTGTGTGTGTGTGTGTGTGTGTGTGTGTGTGTGTGCGCGTGCGTGTGTGATGCTGGAGATGGGCCCCACAGTCACTTGTACAATATTATGGTCACTGTGGCTTTTTTTTTTTTTTTTTTGGTACCGGGGATCAAACTCGGGTCCTTGCGCTTGCAAGGCAGGCGGCGGAACCACTGAGCTAAATCCCCGGCCCACTGTGGCTTTTGTTAGAACACCCAAAAGATGCAACAAGTCAAATGCCCATCAACAGACAAATAAATAAATTGTGATACTTTTATATAATGGAATGCTATACCTCAATGAAAAAAGCAGTAACTGGCTCCAGCAAGAAGACGGAGAAATCTCACAAATACTATGCTGAATGAAAATAGCCAGACACAAATGAATTCTAGCCGTGGTCCCATTTATCTAAAAGGTAAGAACCAGCAAGGCGAAGATGTTTGTGGAAGTCAGAACAGCGAGGAGCCTTTCAGGGAGCAGGCTGAGAAGCACGAATGGGTTCAGGAAACGCTCTAGGGTTTTATCTGGATGGCGCTTATTCAGATGGCGACACTTGCAAGATTCAAATTACACACTTAAGATTAGTGTACTCGTGCACTTTACTGCTGGGATGTTATTACCCTCTAGACAGTGAAATAAATACGCTTGGACAAATCTGCAGAGATGGGGGGGGGGATTTGGAGAACTCAAGCCATGGCAAACCTTTGGGAAAAAGGTTTTAATATTGTCCAAAACAGCTGGGTGTGGTGGTGCACACCTGTGATCCCAGCACTCAGGAGGCTGAGAGGCAGGAGGATGGCCATGAGTTTGAGACCAGCTTGGGCTACCTAGTAAGTTCGAGGCCAGCCTGGACTACACAGCAAGAGCCCCCCCTCCCCCAAATCATCCCAAACAAATCACCCCAAACAAATCACCCTTTGAGCCAGTGGAAAGAATAAGAAAGTTATTCTTGGATAAGCACAAAAGACAATGAAAATAGTATTCTGAAAATAAAAACACTACCTACACACAGTGTTAGCACAGGCCCACCACAGCCTTGGCTAAAGAAGACCCAGGGCTCCAAAATCACCAAGCAGCACAGGGCAGGACAATGTGGGCCTCCCAGCCGGCAGCACTTCTTTCTTATTGTCCATGTTCTGCTTCATCCTCCTTGCCTGCACCTTCACACTTGCTGCTGGTGCTTGGGATGAAGAACATTTTATTCCTGCTGCAGCCGGCCAAGAGGGGAGACGTCTGTTCGGGGATTGGGAGGGAGGAACCTTGGGGCCCGGTCTCCGAGGCTGCAGCTCCCACAGGCTTCCATGCACCCTGTCACCCTTGGTGTCCTCTTCCTAATCCAAACCCAACTCCCGAGGTTCCTCCCCTGCCTGCCTCTGTCCCAGGCACTTACTGCTGCCCTGAGTACTGGGACTATAGGTGTGCACCATGTCCAGCTAGAATTGTCAGTTCTTAAAAAAGAAAAAAAGAATTGTCAGTTCTTGAGGGAGATTTCCTAACCAGAAGGAATTGAAACACTCAGTGTAGGGCAATTCTAACGCCCAGCTTCCCCTTCCTTAATGCTTAGACAAGGTATCGAGTATCATCGAGTACTTTATTCTCAACGTTGAAATCCTTAGAATCTAAAGTTTAGACTCCTTTCTTTCTTTCTCTTTCTCTCTCCCTTCCTTCCCTCCCTCCTTCCCTCCCTTCCTTCCTTTCTTCTTTTTTTTGTGGTGCTGAGGATCGAACCCAGTGATACAGGAGAAATATAACTGCCAATCTGCTAGATGTCAGATGTGCCAAGTTCGTCTGGCCTGAAATTGAAGAATGGATTCCAAAGGCCAAAGAAGGGTAAGAGAAGGAAAGGGTTATTAGGCAGTAGAAATAGCTCCTGAGAGATAGGCAGGGTCCCGAGTGGTGGCTGCATGGCCTCTCAGCTTGGAACTACCATAGGCCGGTAGGTACGAGATTGCTTGTTCAGTGGTCACATATCACGGGTGACTCTGTGGACTTACAATGGGCCCCTGGGACTCAGCTCTCAGTCCAGTTCTTTCACACAGGGTTTGCAGGAAACTGCAGTCTGAGGAGGAACTGGTTCATTTGCATTATAACTTCCTTCAAATTCAGGACCTTAGTAGGAAGTGGCTGCATCTCTCCTCAAGATCTGAGTAGAGTGGCTGCATTCCATGCTGCCTGAGGGAATTCATTCTTTCTCTAAAGTCCTAGTCACTGTCTACTCTTAGATATCAATTTGTCCAGGATGGCTGGGCACCATCCTCCATTCCAGGCCCTTTCTCTAGCTTGCTGCTTTACTCATAAGGTAACTAGATAAACTATCTTCTACACCAGGGCCTTGTGCATGGTGGGCAGGTGCTCTGCCACTGAGCTACACATGCAGCTGTAAACTTTAGGTTCTTACATGGAGTTAATGGAACAGATTGGCCATTAGACGGAGAAGAAGGTAGGTGGTTATTCTCTTTTTTAAAATCACTTTTACAAGGACCAGTTCCTGATTTTTTGGTGGGATTTTGCTTACCAAAATAACTTTTTCCATACTAGGGATCGATGCCAGACCTTCACACTGAGCTATGTCCCCAGCCCTTAAAATTTTAAAAAATTTTTTGAAATAAGTCCTCACTAAGTCACTAAATTGCCCAGGCAGGATTTTAACTTGTGATCTCCCTGCCTCAGCTTCCAGGCCCAAGCCTGCACGCCCAGCTAAAATAAACTTTTCTTCAACAAAATTAAATTATTAAACTCTCAGAAGGAACAGGGAAGCATGGATAATGGGTATGACTGTCTGTGTGTAAAGTGCCCGAACTTGTTTATTCCCTACTTATCTCCTGGTTTGTAATCCTGTAACACATAACTCATAGAGCAGGAACTCAAAACTAGAATCTAAGGATTGGTTTTAGGGCTCAATGCCTTCCCCTCTTCCCCTATGAAAAGTGTTTTAAGCTTATGTATTTTGAGGGAAAAAGAGTCTGTAGCTTTCAGATAATCAGTTGAATCCATCCCAGATGCCTTCAGAAAAATGAAGCAAGCCAATGCCTTATTTGGACCAGGCTTGTTTATAACCAGAGGCAACTATACTTTGTGTTTACCTAGAGCTCACTCAAGGAAGTGACATCTAACAAACTTGAATGTTGCAGGTCGAGATGCTTATAATTCCTGAACATAATTAAAGACAATTAAACAACATTAATTATTATTTTGGTGTTGGGGATTGAACCCAAGGCCCAGTGCATGCTGAACACGTATGGTACCACTGAGCTGCAGCCTCAGCTCCTATGTTTTTAAATCACTGTTTTTCTTTGTTGGAAAGAAACCAAAACAGACTTCTTGTTTTTACCTGTCTTATAGAAGTAATCTATGGTTCAGCTTTTGAATCTATTTTCTCACCCACATCTGTTTAACAAAAGAAAACTTTTTTTTTTTTGTACTGGGGATTGAACTTGGGTCCTTGCGCTTGTGCAGCAGGTGGTGAAATCACTGAGCTAAATCCCCGGCCCTAAAAGAAAACTTTGACAAATGGAAAGAAATCCCTTGCTCCTGGTTAGAATATCTAATCATCAAAATGTCTGTTCTGCCTGACTTTACTTACAAATTTAGTGTGATCCTAATAAAATTAATAGCTCCTTAATTCTTTTCCTGAAGAAGATTATACTACCATTGAGGCAGAGAAATAAACACACAAGAACAGCTAGAAAACCTGGTGAAGAAGATCACTGGGCCCAGGGGAGAGCAACTAGACCTAGCAGATAATGAAAACATACAACAAAGCCTATGTACTTAAAACAAAGTGATATACTAGCTGGATGTGGTGGTGCACACCTGCAATTCTGGCACTCAGGAGGCTGAGGCAGGAGGATTGGGGTGAGGTGGAGACTCTGGAGCTACATAGTGAGTTCAAGGCCAGCCTGAACTAGTAGGGAGACTATGTCTCAAAAAACAAAACAAGGGGCCGGGGATTTAGCTCAGTGGTTCCACTGCCTGGCTCAAAAGTGCAAGGTCCGGAGTTCAATCTCCAGTACCAAAAAAAGAAAAAAAAAAAATCAAAACAAACAAAAAACAAGTTGATACTGTTACATGAATTAGAAAGACCAATGGAATAGAATGAAAAAACAATAAAGGTGATTTCTCCAATCACGGAGGCAGATAAAAATGTAAACACACAAGCAAGAAAAAGGATTTATGTGATCTCAATACAACTGAATAGTCTTTCAGAAAAAAATAAATGAGGTTCTTTCTTTAGAACACACCCAATAAACTTTAAATAGGGAAAAACTTAAATGTGCTAGGGATTTAGCTCAGTGGCACCATGCATGACTGGTAAGTGCAAGGTCCTGAGTTCTATCCCCGGTACTGGAAAAAACAATTTAAATGTAAAAAGAGAAACTATATTAATAATAGAATAAAACATGGGTTCATTTCTCTATAATATGTGCATAGGGAAAGAATTTCTAACCACGATTCAAAATTCAGATGCATCTAATAAAAGATAAATATACTATGTAAAAATTTTAAATTGTGCATAAAATCACTTTAAGTAGGGCCAGGAATGTAGCTCAGTGCTACCGCGCCTGCCTTGCAAGCCCAAGGTCCTGAGTTTGATCCCTGGTACCAGAAAAAAACAAAAAACAAAAACAAATACCTTAAGTAAAATTAATATACAAATGACAAATTGGGAGAAGACTTAATATTTCTAATATATAAACGGTAAGAAACAAGGTCTTTTCTATCAAAACCATGAACAGGAGGAGTATCTCCATCCTGAACTCTAGTCCACCCTAGGGTGCCCGCCCCCACCCTGTACACCAAAGTTACAGGAA